CAAATAATACTTAACTCCATAAGTATTGCTTATTTATCAGGCAATATGGTATATTTTGTATTTAAAATAAAACTCAGATATGACAGGGTCTCTGCTCTAAGGAGTTTACAGTTTATTAGTGGCTATAACCAAGTAAATCAACAACTATGCTTAGTAAGAAGTAGGTGAAATGTGTCCTATCTTAACCACTGTCCCCGGAATTCCTTTTTAGGTAACTATTTTTGTTCAGAATAGTAACTAAGTAAGCTTTCTAGGATGGAGGATGAGATAAAAAATACAGCAAAAGAGACAGTCAACCTCTCTTTATTAGAAATAAACATGAATGTGGGAAGTAGAAAGAAGAGAGATGTAACATAGCTATACTTTCCTAAATATGAAAATGACTGAGAGATTTTTGAGGAAGTTGGTTTTGAACAATCAATTGAACTTCTTTCTCTTGCTAAACTATAAATCCCTTTGTTTCAGTTAAGACTTTTGGAGGCATGTGTCCAAGATAATTTATGCAAAAGAAAAGGAATTTACTGACTCATATAAATGACAAGCCCTAACACCAGGGCATCAACAATATAACTAATACTGTTTTTTCTTTCTCAATCAGTGGGCTTTCTCCTTTTGTCTGTGTTAGTGCTGACAGTTTGTGGTGGCAAGATACGTGTAGCAGTACTAGCCACCATGTCTCAGATTCAAATCTAGTGGGGGAGAAGAATGCATTCCTTGTAGTTCCCATCTAAATCTTGGCACTCACTCTGTCCACATCTAAAGCTATCACTGACTGAGGGATTTTATTGTTCTGATTTCTCAAAGAAACAAAATGTAAATGGTTGTTTTAAAGTTATTTTTAAAATGAGAATATTGCTTGAAAATGTATAAAAACTGTAACTGATGATTTCTGAACTAACTTTAATGCTCAAATATTTGCATGGTGCTTCAGACAATTATTATATTAAACCTTATAAGAGGAAATCTACATACAGTGATATTTGTGTTGACTCTTATTAAAACAACTTTATTACTTTAGACCAGTTTTAGATTTAGAGAAAAATTGTGAATATAATGTAGACAGATTCCATATAACCCTAACACCAGCTTCCCATATTATTATCATCTTACAATAGTGTTATACATTTGTCACAATTAATGAAACAATGTTATTATTAACTAATGTCCCTACTTTAGCTTTTACCTAATGTCCTTTTTTTCTGTTCCAGGACCTCATCTAGGTTATATTACATTGAGTCATGCTGTCTCTTCAGGTTTCTCTTGGCTGTGACACTTTCTCAGAATTCTTGTTTTTTAATGACCTTGACAGTCTTGAGGAATACTAGCCTTTTTTTTTTTTTTAATGTCCTTCTATTGTGATTTGTCTCATGTTTTTCTCATGATTAGACAGGAGTTTTAGGTTTTTGGAAAGAAGATTCCATAGGTAAACTGTCATTTTCATCGTGTCATACCAAGGGTACACACTATTAACTTTTCACTGTTAATGTTAACCTTTATTACTTAGCTTAGGTAGTGTGTGAAATTTTTATGCACGGGTGGTTTGTCTAGTTGCTCTCTTTTATTTATTTATTTGACAGTTTATTTTGTATCAGTAGGAACTGATGCATATTTATTTTTTACTGCAGATTAAATCTTTTACTTTATTTATTTTGTTGCTCAAATTGTTTCAGCTTTAACAATTAGGGATTCTATTAGTTGGCTCCTACAACCCTTTGATATACCCCACCATTGTGTGTGTGTGTGTGTGTGTGTGTGTGTGTGTGTGTGTGTGTTTGTGTGCGTGCGTGTGTCAGCACCTACTTAACTTTCCAGCAATATAAGATAGTCCAGACTCATCTTGCATATTGTCTGCCCTGTCTTACAATTAGCAGTTTATCTGGGGCCTTTATTGGAGAATAGTATTAGAAACCAAGACCTGGGGCTAGATGTACTGATTGCTGCTGAGAGATGTCCTCGATTCAAGGCCCTCCTCACTAACAGAACAAGGAACCATGTGTGTATACACCTGTATATGTACACACACACACACACACACACACACACACACATATATATATATATATATATATATATATATATATATATATATATATATATGTATATATATCCATCTGGAACTATAATAAACTAAACATGAGTTACAGTGACTTTTCCCTTTTGAATCCATTATCAAATAGCTCTTTCTCTCTTCCCCTCCTTGCTTATATCTAACTTCTGACTCTAACAGTGAGGAACCTGGATTCTACCATCTGCCATCCACTTAGTTAACTCTTCAATTCTGAGGATTTTTAATAAGAGAGAAACTTGGATATATTTATATGCTACACCATTGGAGGAGATGGCAAGTGTATTGGGAAATGATACAATTTATAAAGCAACATCCCTAAAGAGATGAGAAGAGGTGGATCCAGAGTAAAAAATTAATAATAATAATTAATATTGGATGAGAAGAAAGATAGTTCTTCCCTCAGGTAGGAAAGACGTAAGAAGATAGATATAGGATTGTCAGGGATGAAGGGTGGAAGTTGAAATAATTATTTCTCATTCCAATTTTCTCAGTGGTTTAGGAAGCATAAAGCCAACTGCTGAGAGAAAGATTATGCAGAAAGATGATTTTACTACAGAGAGTACAAAAAAAAAAGTGAATATTTGGAAAGAGATATGGCTCGACATGGGTTTGAGGTCAGTGGAATACAAAAAGAAGAAACTGGGACTTAATACTTAAAGGTCAAAACTTTAAAAATACATTTTTAATTATGTTGCATACCTGAATACAAATTTTTAAAAACCAGTATTTTTCAAAGAGAAGTTTTATAATGTAAATAATGAAAATTTAATAGTCATCATCTGTCTATCAACTCCAGATTACAATAAAATATATATGAATTGTGCACGTTTGGGAAGGAAAAAGTGATTTAAATTCCTTTCCTTATGAGTATGGAAACAAATAATATTTCACATTTATTTTGATAAATTCATAATTATGAGAGAATGATTTGGAGAAAAATTGAAACTGAAAAACTATTAGTATTACAATAAAAACATGATCTAAGTACTGGTTAAAAAAAGCACAAACTAAGTATATTAGGTTTTGATTTTTGATACTATTGATAATCCTTATACAGTATAATTTTCATGAGTGGTATTATTTGCTAAACTATTGTAAAAGCTTTATATATATTTTCTACCTATCAGAACAACCAAATAAGATAGGGTCTATGATTATTTTCACTTTAAAGATAAACTAAGGCTGACAGTCACATCGCTAGGTGGATGGAATTGTAATTTCTCCCTAACAACTCTTTTACCCTCCCCTGTTATGTGGAAGCTTGAGTTTTGGCTGGAATTAATCCCACTCCCTTTCCAGGCTGGGCTCTGATATATTTAAAACTATTATAATTAATATAACCTGATGCACTTTACAACAATGATTGATTCAGGTAGCCACCCTTGCCTAAGTCAATCAGCCAAAGAAAGTGAGTGGTGGAGAGAGAGGAGGGTACATTCATAAAAGTTTGGGTACATAAGCTTGCCCCTGGAAACTTAAGGAAGTAGAACTAGTAGGATCTATCTACCTATCTATCTATCTAGCGATATTTCTAGGAGGTGGCTGATGAAAGTTTGAGGCTGACAAGTAGGAAATCTATAGAATAGGATGGGAAGCTGGAAGCTCTCAAGCAGGAGTGTTGGTGAAGAATTTCTTTTTTTCTAGGAAACCTCAGAATTTTCTCCTGAGGCCTTTCAATTGATTAAACAAGGCCCATTTAAATTATCTAGGCAATTTCTTTTATTTAAAGTCAACTGAATATAATGTCAACCTCATCTACAAAATACCCATAGTATCATACATTAGTACTATAGCACAGCCAAACTGACCCACAAAAATTAATGTTGATTCCCCACAGAAGACCCAAATAAAGGACAGATGGGCTAAAATAACTTTATAGGAGCCCTTGGAAACTGTTTAAAACCTACAACAATCAAGCAAACACCCAATCAAGAAAAAGCTACATTAAAAAACAATAGAAATTATGTTGCATTTCACTTGCCCTTTCTAAACCCTTCCCTAGCACAGTGCAGTCTATTCAGAAAGTGACCCAATTCCTGGTTACCTCCCTTGGGCAATTATCATACAGTTAAAGACAAACAAACAAACAAACAAACAATCAAAACCTTTTTCAGTCTCCTTAATTTGCAATTTTATACCACAGTGCACTTTTCTCTCTCATCTCATTCTCACAGTATACATTTACTGTTGAAAAGTACAAGTCACCACACTAGATTGTGAATTCAGGGCATGTGGAGAACGTATGTATTTTTTATCAATATTGTATCCACATAAAATAGCACAGTGCCTGACAAGAAATGTTTGTTGAATAAATGTCCTCCTGGATAAATGGCTAAAATGAGACCCTCATGTGTATCAATGATTAGACACAGTTACCAATCACATACACTAACCAGTGTGGGACAAGGCAAGATTTTCTCTTTCCTCTCTTAGATGTTTGGCTGGTCAAATCATTGAACTGACATAAGAATGATTAACAAGAGAAAAATTCAAATTTAATACATACATACGGGGAATTCACATTTACTAGAGACATCACAAACACAGTTAGGCAAAATGAGGTATAGAATTCATTCTCGACTAAAGAGAAGGTGGTAGAGGTCTGGGACTTAAAAGGAAAGTAAGGCAATTCGCAAGAGGATGAAAAGACTTCATGCTTGGTAACAAATGTTTACGGGGCCATGAAGAAACAATTGGACAGAGAGGACTTCGAACGAACTGGCCTGCTAGGTCCCTCCCTATCACACACACCTAGTTTGTTTTAAACTATAGTTATCTATGATGATGGCTTCTTTCCTGGAGCAAACCCTCCATCTGAATTATTTTAAGCAGTTGTAGGGAGGAAGGTCAAAGTTTCTTTCTGAGGCTTTTGTTTCCTAAAAATAGTCAGCCTAAAATAACCTCATGCCAGAGAGGTTCCACATGCCACACATCTTGGGGTGGCAAATCCTGCCCCCCACACTACTATGTAGTAGAACCTTAGGAACTGTGTGCTGTTTGAGAGATTTGACTATCTACCAATCTCTGCTTTGATACCTTTTTTTTTTGCATTTGATTATACTTAATTAGATGGTGTTTTTCTTTATAATACTCATTTCATGAATATAAGCATGACCTCTCCAACAAGTTTAAGTTTGAGAAAGACATATGGTTCCCTGGTGCTCTAAAGTAAGTGCAAAATTGAGATTTACTGAATTATTGTAAATCTAAGGATTATGTTTATTGTTTTGTTTTCCTCTCTCTATATAGTTTTTTAAGAAATACTTTGCATTTGACTCTTCTGAGGAAGGGATAGGCTTTATGAAACTCTTACAATTAATGTCATTGTTCTGTTATCCTGGTTTTCATCTTCGTTGTCTTCATACCCACTATAAAACAGGTGAGGCTCAATTAAGGGAAGTGTGTTAAATGGATTCTGACTGCCTTTAGAACTATTCAGGTTAAAATAAATGAATAGATGCAAAAAGTGTACTTTAAAATATGTTTTGATCTGAACTCAACATTATGTATTTTTATAGGCAGTGTGGTATAAGAACTAGAGTTTTTCTAGATCTGATTCTCTTATACATAAAAATTTGGTGTAATATGCATTAATCTTAGCACTAAACTGTAATCAAGTAAACATTCATTTTTACCATAAACTTTGAATAATACAAAGGATATCCAACAGATATTTTTCATAGCCATAGTGAAAGTGTCTGATAGCTTTGCAAATAAAATATAATGTTGCATGCAAATTATATTACTGCTTATGTTTTATTTGAAATATTTATAATATTCATTTTGTAAATACAATATGCAGTACAAGAAAATGACAATAGTATAATTGAACTTCTATGAAAAATCTTGCCTCTGAAAATTTTAGATAAAATCAATCTTGCCTGAATTTACTGGGTTAGGAAGACTAATTTACTCATCTTCTTTCTTATTCTGGGAAGTGTACTATGTAAGAGATTACTGTCACTTCTTGACTTCACTTTAATCAAAAACCTGGTGAAAGTATACACAATTATAAACAAATATATTTTTCCGTTTATAGTTCTCATCATGCTTTTAGTAAGCCCACACAAATGTATACACTCCAACATTTTTTATTAGTTATATAACTGCATCTTAAATAAATGAAGAGGTTGTAACATAAACATTGTATAAAATGTTGTGACATGTTTCTAAAACTGATATATTTTGAGGAATATATTAATATATAATATTTTCATTATTAATGATACTATAAAATAATAAAAATATACTCATAAGGCAACCTTTATGTGAATAACAGACTAATATGAAATTGGGGCAGTATATGATTTAGGAGAGATATGATTACAGTGTTCTAGGTCATCGAGAAAGAATCAAGTTAAATAGGTTTTTTACTATTTTCTCCCTTTGACATTCACAATTGTTTCTGGTCAAAATACACAACTCTCAGGTGATAAGTCTGTGAAAAATATATTTCTGTATCTGATTGGCAGACGTTAATTTTTTTCTTGATTCAATCAGAAAATACTAGCAATACAAATGGTTTTGAATTTATTTGCAGTTTTTTAAAAAGAAAATCTCTTGAAAAACACTAATAAAGAAGATATTTAGAATTAAAGCCATCCTATCTTGTTCAATTTTCTTTCTTAGCAAGTTTTCAAAATAGTCAGGATTAGAGGTATTCTAGCATTTCATTTTTTTCTAAAGTTTTACAACTAAAATGTAAAGGTGATCAAAATAGTTCCCCTTTTTAAACATTAAATTATCTTTGCAAAATAAATGAAAATTTTGAGAACATCTTTTTATTTAGTGAGGAAGAATTTAGTATGTGGGACCTGAAAAACACAGGACATTAATGTATACTACCCAGACTTTTGAAGAAGATAATTCATGATTTCATAACATATGTAAGAAGAGTTAATACAGTACCAAACCACAAAGAATTTGAAGCCAGAAATTATGAAATAATAAGACAATGATTTGCAACATGACTTGACATTATCTACACTCTTTGAGATCAATTATTACCTTCATTGAGTTACCCCCAATCAAGTTATTTTTATACATTAAAGTAAAACAGAAAACATTCAGAGTATGTTATGGCAGATAAGACCACAGATCTAGATTTCTAAACCACCCTTTATTTGTTTATTAAAATGTGCAGTTCAAGAAGGAAGGAAGGCAGTGTGCACATACTAGAGATTGGATGATGCCTACAGTTCAAACATTAATAGGCTTTTTAATGCTTTGTTATAAATCAGGTCTTCCTTTACAAATTGTCTTGTGGCCAATAAGGGAAGTGGGACCTCACAATACTCAGGTAAGGGAGAAAAGACTTTGTGATACTCAGTGAGAAATGATAATATACCTTGCAATCATATACAGAGCAGGCCAAAAAAACATATATACATTTTAAGAAAGGAAAACTGCATTCAAATTGTAATACTCAATATATACTGATAACAAGAGATGACGCAAGTCATAGTTGACTTCTATAATTGCAAGAGGTGCTCAAAGTGGTTACCATCAGTGTCCAGACACTTCTGATTATGGAGAACTACTGCTTGAGCAATGTTGACCGAAGTGTTCACTTATATACATTTTTTTGGCACCCCTGGTATTAGCAAACTTTATAAAAACTAGTCAAAGGAAGCGCAGAGAATGTATATTTGAAAGTGGTCAAGTTTTCCAGTAAAATGCTAATGTTTTACTATTTAATTAAGAATATATATTATCTTTCCTACTAATTAACACATAGTAAGAGTTCATTTCTTCATAATTAATCTTTACTGTCTTTAAAGGAGAACTTTAAATAGCCAAAGAACATAATTATGTAGTGTTATTTTTCTGATAAGATCTTCTTAGCATGTAGATGAAACATACATCAGATTAGCTTACTTAAATTTAGAATATCATAGAATGGTAAACCAGGAAAGGAACTAGGATTTATTAATTGAAGCCTTTCTTTTTACAGATGAGAAAATGTGATCTCTGTAACAAAAATTAAAAATGCTAACCGTGCTTATGAGAGTAAATTGGTTTACCTATAATAATTTGTTTTTATTTAGCTATCAATTGGAGTATTAATCACTGGTTAATGTAATAGAGTTTTCAAGATAAAACTAAAAACAGATGTATCTTTTTACCTCTTATGTAATTAATATGCTAAACATTGAATCGATCAATTTTTCATTCAAAATAGAAATTATTGTGTTGGGAAGAACACTTTTTCATTGCCTATATTGTATATTGACAGCAATTTAAATCAAATGTTTGTGTTTCCAATACCCTTAAAACAACACAATAAGTAAACATTCCTTTCATCTAAACAAATAACACTAAAATACTTGTTAGATTTATAAATCTAACAAGTATAACTGGTGCAAAAAATATTAGAAGCAATCAATTCATTTACCCATTTATGAAAATATTTTTAGGAGTGATTTGGAAGGGGTAGAATTAGTCTATTAGAAAAGGTTATGGGGGAAAATAAGAACTACTTGCAGCCTTACAATCAATAAATGAAAACCCTGCCAATTGCTGGATGGAAAGCTGACCAGCTTCTAAGTTTCGTTCTATGCTAATAAAAACTAGTCCTTAGTAAGTTTTTAAATTTCCTTTCAGCTTCTCAAAATCTATTTGCCAAATGTTCTCCTGAGGTTTGGGACCACAGAAGTAAACTAGATTATAAGTTCTAAACTAAGAGTCAATAATATAATGAATTAGAAGACCATTAATTAATAATTTAATGATACATGAATGTAACCAATTTTTTAATATATATATATATATATATATATATATATATATATATATATATATATATATATTTGCAAATCATAAGAAATACCTGCAGCTATGAAACTATAAAACTGGTAGATATTGGGCTAAATTTATAAAGGTGGGGAGGAGGGCTAAGACTTAAATGAGCTGTATCAGCAAACAATTTGGAGGGGTAGCAGGGCAGGGTAGAGCTTCTAAACAGAGAACTGCAAGTGCAAAGTCCAGAAATTGGAAGAGAGTTTTTTGCACATTGAAGAAGAATGCATTAAAATATTATTGTGGGAAATATTGAATGGAGGAATGTCAAATATGTATTACAATAATAGGAAAATAACTACATGTCTAGCTTTTCTAAACAAAAAAGATGTCATTCATCAAATCAATTAGAATTTATTTTATTGCTTCAATATTGCTGTAACTTTTCCTCACTTTGGTTGAGTTACCTTCCATTGTTACATGTCAGAGTCAGATTCTAAAAAATTCATTGTATATGGAAGCAGACTCTGCTTCTTTATATAAGCATTATAAGCATGCTCATATTGTGTAATTCAGCAAAAATCTTTCTTTACAACAAGATTTTAACAAGAGTTTTCTTTCCTGGAAATAGGCCATAGAAAAAGCCAGAAGGTCTGCAAATAACAGATATGCACATTTTCCATCTAAATTCACAAAACGACAACATTTTGACAGGCATGGTATTTAGAAGAGAACTAAAATGAAGACAAGATCATTTATATTGCACTCATTGCACCATAAGTTTGTGGTTTTTCATGTCTCCCCACTCTCGAAACCATGAATGTCCAAAGAAAAAGATATCTTTATTAATCTCTGTATTTTCCCAAACCTAGCACAGAAGTTGTCAAAAGCACATATTGAGTGAATGTTTATTATATGTCTGGGTCAGAGCTATGGTCATAAACATTATCAGGAAGTGGCTAACAGTTGGGCAAGTGATGATGTAACTGTTATACCTAAGAGGAACGAATATGGGAGTCAACAAACTCTCCTGTTCCAGGAAGGAATGCTCTTGAGAACACCACTTTAAGGGAACAACCAGGCATAGGAATCTCACACCTTAAAAGGCCTCTCTTCCATATTTGAACAATGGTTACACTGACCTTAAAGCCTGTGTTCTTGTGGCTTTTGCCCAGAGGTGCAGACTCTGTGCTCCTCCATAATGCAGCCCTTCAAAGATCTGAAGACCACTCATGTTTTGCCATTACATTGACCTGGCTCGTTTGTTTACTGCTTGCTCATAAGAAGCGGTTTTTTAATATCCATTGATATTATTTCACCCTTACTATGTATATTGTATCGTTGTTCATTTCTCTGATACAATATCTTTAGTTAAATTTGCCAGAAGTAAAATCTGATTAGGAATAGTGAACCATAGGAGAAAAAGCCTAGATAGAAAAAAAGTGCAAAAGACAACATGGTAAACACAGCTAGGTTAGTTTGCCAACCATTTTTGCCAACCATTTTTATATCAATCTGGGGGCTAAAATAATGAAAAGGGCAAATTAATTTCTCTGAACATCTAAAAGTGTAAATGAGAAAGACAGAAATGTAAATAAATAATTCCATTGCAATGTGATATTTACTATAAAAGAATAATGCATTCTGAAATTGTTACTTTACTGTGAATTCAGTAATGTACCCAAACCCAGTTCCATTTAGAGTTCTAAAATAATGTAAAAGGATTATTCTCTTGATTCTTTGTATTTTTCTTAGTAATTGCCATGCCAAAACTTTGCTGCCTATCTAAAAACTGACCATGAGTCCCTCAACCACTT